TCATCCTTTCAACATCTCCACTCAATCATTCTCAGAATATAAAACTTAAATAGAGAAGGAAAGGATGCTGCCACAAACAGTATCAGCTCCAGTGGGCTCCTCTATGGACATGACAGCCCAGGTACTGATTACAGTCCTGTTTGCCAGTCCTCCAATAATCTGCTGCTCTAGGGGTACTCTAGGTGTGGGCTTTGGCCCCAGGCCTGGCTCTAAATACACCATTTGTCACCACTGCATGAACAATATGATGTAGTTCCATTCACAAGACAGACTTGTCTCGTTTTCTTTTGTGTAAAAAGCTGCCTGCAAAAAGAAAGCACTGGCTATTTAATTCAGCCAGTTATAACCACAGCAAGCATAAAGGGGAGGACTGTTTAGCAAGTTTGCATAAACTGAACCTACATCAGGGCTACTTCAAACTAACCAAACTAATCTTGCCTTAAGGAAAAGCATGGTTGTTGTCATAAAAAGTGGAAGGGAATCACTTTAGCATGTTAGTAACCTGCCATGATAGTGTTCTTTATAGTAGCTGGCTTTACCACTGTGAGTGGCTCAGGTGTGAAGGATACTCCTTCCTGTTGTGAATTTGTGTGTGTGTGAGAGAGCGAGCGAGCGAGCAAATTGTATGTAGCCCCTGGCATCCCAGCAGGCATTCAGGGCATCCCTTGGGACCAAAAAGATGGCATTGGTGTAACAGGAGAATCAACATATCGAAGTTGTTTGAATACCATGGTAATCACACTACAATGACAATATTAGAATCAGGCCACAAATGGCTTCCAGCTTAAAAAGAAATTTAGGTTTTTTCGTGGCAGCATCTGCCAGAATTACAATTAAAGTAGTCCTGATGCCACTATTCTCTTGTATTTTACTTATTTGTCTCAGGAATGCACATCCAAAAGACACTGGAAGTGAGGTAAACATAGCACTGTGCCAAATTATTCACAAATTATTACTTCTAATTTTTTTCTTAGACGTGTCAAGATACAAGCAAGGTCTGGTATTCACTCATAAGCATAGAAAGATATACTCTCTCCCTGTCACCCACCCATGCAAGAGCATTACTAAACCTCTTAATAGCCAACACTATGGCAGAAAGCAGGCAGGTTACAGTCAGTGCAGTGAACAGTGTGTTGAGTCCTCACACAACTGAAATAGCCTGAGCTGGGGGCCCAGTAGAAACAAGCAGAAATGTAAATTCAGAAACAAAACAGGGCACAAAGGCAACAAAAAATAGTTCCCCCTTTGCAAACATCCAGGCAAGTTGCAGGCATGTCCTGGTTTGTATAATTCAAGCTGCTTTTGTGTATGCGTGGATACAGTGGTGTCTTGGCTCACGAACTTAATCTGTTCCAGGACTCTGGTCGTGACCCAAATTGGTCGTGACCCAAGTTAAATTTCCCCATAAGGTTCAATGTAAATAAGGTTAATCCATTCTGTAACGATTTGTTTTTAATCAGAAAAATGTGAAGCAAAGTGACAAAGAACAAAGATCACGGCTATCCCTCCCCCCCCCCCGAGCATGAGCACAGCCAGCACCCAGGCCCCCCAGCATGACCTGCACCCTTCATCCCAGCACGTGCCCGTCATCCTGGCCCACTGGGGGGGGAGAGACAGGTGTGATCCCAGGCATGCTCGCGGGGGGGAGAGACGGGTGCAAACGCAGGTGTGCTGGGAGGGGAGATGGGCACGATTGTGCTGGGGGGAGACAGGGCCGAGATCGCGGTTGCACTCGTGCAGGAAAGACAGGCATACTGTCGGCTGTCTCCCCCCACCCATCCCTAGCATGATCTTGGCTGGCTCCCCACTTGGGGGGGGGGGGCGGAAGATGGCCGCGATTGCGGTCACCACCCAATGCGGAGTTTGCGACCTGAGTCAAAATTTTAATGAAATTTTTGTCATGAACTGAGGCTTTTGTGAGCTGAGGTACCACTGTATAATGTCTCTGTATTTTCTGCTGTACTGCACACATGCATGACTCTATAAGAAATTTCAGAACACCAGAAACTAGCTAGAACAATCAAGATACCCTGACAGTTCATCTCTGTCAATGCTAGAAGGCTAAGGTGCTTTTTGCACCCTCTTTTATTCTTTGAATTGCAACTTTCACATAGATGCCTGAATAGACATATTAATCATCAAGTCATTAGCTAAGACAAAAAGGAAGGCATTGGACAGTGTTTAAGAAACACTAACATAAATTGCACAGTATTTTTTCAGTTCCCAAAATACTCTTTTGGTAAAGTACATTTTAAGGCATTTGCATTGGTGAAACCAGTATCTTACAGTTTAGATGTCCTGGATGAGTATGTACTGCTCAAAAAGTGTTACACTAAAGTTACTACAGTCTCTTTTGTGCTATGTGCACAAGCATCAATGAGTCTTAGGCTTGGATATTCCTCCCATCCTTTCCTTCTTCAACATGGCCACAAGGCGAGGAACTGTTCAGAATCTTTCATTTTTAAACTAACCAGAGTTCCTGAATATATCTAAGAGGAACTCACTCTCAAAAAACAGGATCAAAGTGAACTGGCTTGTTACCAAACTATAGTTTAAACTATAGCGGATCCACACCTCCTCTCCTACCTCTCTATCCAGCTCACTGTCTCACCCCCATGTTCTCCTCTCCAATGTTGCAATTGTGACTTCAGAAGAGAAGCCGCCCTGGAAATTTCAGCATGGCTGAATGGTGGGGAAGGTTAGTGGGAAATCCACAACCACAGTCATAGCATTGTCTACAGCTGCAGAAGAGGAATTCTGCACCATCTCCAAATGCCATCTGGTAGCCATACGATTGCTCTGTAAATTGATTTATAGTTTGCATAGGTCCACCTAGTAAAATATAATGAACAGAATATACAGACCATGGTAAAATAAGTGGAGATGTGAAAAAGCCAAACTTGGGCATTCTTAATGGATTATAACTACAACATTTGTAACTTCACGCAAATGTATGACTGCTGACATACATTAGAATGTATGTATCAGTATCAGAATGAACGGAGAAAGAAAGATAAGCATATCAACATATCGATCCCTAGACGAGTTTAACTGCAGTGGAACCAATGGAAAGCAACTGACCTAGAAATGCAAAATTATGCAATTGCATATGCTTTACTGCACTTTGGATTTCACTGAGCAGATGCAGTGACCATGCTGTTGATAAAATTCAGAATGATGCCTTGCCCTCAATGTCTTGCTTTGATTAAGAGAAGAAAAATCCAGACTGGATCCACCTGACCTTGAAAACAACATTATCCACCAAGAGAAGGTGACTATAATCTTTAAACCATTCAATATGCCCAGAAAAGTTGAGCTATGTCATAGCTGTATATTCACTATTTCTTAACCCAACCCCAGGCAATCTAACTGAACAAGCTTATTTTCTTAGATCCCATTTAGGATTTTTTTTAAGTGCAAATGGTAAGCTTTAATGAAAAGGAATATAGTAAAAAAAAGGAAAAAATACTTTCACTATAGAATTATTTTAAAGGAAAGGCTTTATCTGTCACACAACATAATCCCTTCTCCAAAAGGCTACAAAGTTACTCTGGAACTCCTCCTGGATGCAAAACTTGTTTTGTCTATACCAGTACTTTGAAGCAGGGCTTTTTATGTCTTCATGTATTTCAAATACATTTTTGCTGATTTTAGATGTTAGTGCAGGCATACCTCGTTTTAATGCACTTAATGCTTTGCAGATACTGTGATTTTTTACAAATTGAAGGTTTGTGGCAACCCTGTGTCAAGCAAGTGTTTTGGTGCCATTTTTCCAAGTGAGCATTGGCTCATTTCATGTCTTTGTGTCACATTTTTGTAATTCTTGCACTATTTCAAACTTTTTCATAATATATTTGTTATGGTGATCTGTGATCAGTGATCTTTGATATTACTTTTGTAACTGGGGCAGCATGAACCATGCCCATGTAAGACATCAGCTTAATTGTGAAATGTTGTGTGGGTTCTGACTGCTCTACTGC